GGCGGCGGCAGGAAGCGATGGCGGTGGGTCTGGGGAGGGGTGCCAGTATGGTAGAGCTGGGTGGCTTGCTATGGCGGGACCTGAGCCCTGGAGGTCCTCCCCCCCCCCCCCCCCCCTGGCCCCAACTAAACCCCCCCCCCCCCTGGAGGATAGCGGTTCGGATCTCTCAAGTCTGCCAACAATTTGGTCCCTTTGGCCCCAGGTCCTGTTTACTCTCTGGGTTAAACCAGGTGGTCGAGTCTGGTATAGGGTCGGTGATAAAGGCCGCCTTACCACAGGGGGAGCTTTTTGACCTATCATTGGAGTTAAGCCTGGCGACCCCATTTTAAAGGAATAATCAGAAAAATACACCGTCGACATTCCAGTAAGCTGATCGTTTTGCCTGGAAAAGCTGACGTCACTACTGCAGGAAGGAGGATTTCTGTATCATTATTATTGTTTTTTCATTTGCTGTTTCAGAATATTGGAGCCTTGTATCAGAGTCTAGTCTCACCAGATGGATACCAATGGCTACATTTATTTCTTTACACATCTCCAAGATGATGAATAACATTACCCATTACCTTGACGCCTTTTCTAGCCTTAACTAGGTTTATTTAGTAACAAACAAAAGCTAACCATGTAAAATACATATAATTACTTGTCCTAATCATATACGTATTGATACTAACTATGTAGCACATATAAACCTAATCCTAACATTGGAGATTGTACTAAAATAATTTTCATTCCGTTTCGAACCATTTACTGTGTAACCATGTAATGTTCTGTATATTAACTGGAACAATATCAGTGTATCTTTAACTCAACACTACTCACAAATAGGAGCCAATAAATACAGGGAAACTTTTTGCTGCATTTTGCTTCCACGTTAAAGAGACACAAATAGCTCTTTGTTGTGTTGTTGCTGTTGTTTGTTCTTTAGATTAGCTCTGCCGCAGAAGGGCCAGATCTGATTTGTCTCGCGTGAGATGATGAAGACTGTGCGACGCGGCAGCTGCCGGGACCTTTTATTCTCGGTTCTTTCCTCTTTTACGGTTTTCAGAGCTTAGTCTTTTCGTGTTCAACTTTTTCTCGTCCTCGCGAGAGCAGATGTCGGATGACATTAACGACGACAGAGTGCTAATGTTTTCTTTCCTTTCTACCTGTTCCTGCAGCTCTGCAGGGAGACGACAGACTTGAGAAAATCCGAACCCATCCTTTGGGCCACGTTTGCCTTCGACTTAATGACATTCCCATCGACAGGGAATTACTGGAATTGCCACTGTCTTTAATTAGAGCTGCTTTTCCTGCACACACTGCTGACTTGAGCTACGACTAAGTTTATTTTGGCTTTAAATGGTCCACTAATGACTAAACAATTAGAGATGTTTTATCCAAACAGAAATGGGTCCTCGTGCTCACAAATACAGTTCTGGGTTTGCTCACAGTTAGCTAAACATCTGGATTCTTCGAAAAGCTGGTAAAGGACTCACAACTCTTTTTCAAAACAACAAATCCATGGAAAGAAAGAAAAATCTAAATAAAACCCCGCCCCAAACGGAAATTTTAAGCAAAGGCCTAGACAACAGGAAGTACGTTAAACTCACCTGGAAGTCCGTCACCAGGTCTCTTCCGAATGTGCCGATGGGAGAGTCCCTGGACATGGAGGTGACCGTGGACAGGAAGCTGCTGGACTCGGTCAGGTTGGGCATGGGCGACAGGTCGTCCGTCCGTTCTCTGAGGCCCTCCCCTGCGTGGTCCAGTTTCTCCACGAAGATGTGCAACTCGGTGCGGAAAGCCTTCATGCGGGTGTTGATGGAGTCCAGGACCTGAGTGTCCGGCCGCGGGCCGGAGGCCCCCGCCCCCGCCCCCGCCGCTGCTGCCCCGCGCTCCGGGCTCTCCCCGGTGGTCACCGTCAGCCTCCCCTCAAAGATCAGGCTGTCGGTGTCGGTGATCAGCCGGTCCACCGTCTTGCCGAGCCGGTCGGCCTCCCGCTTGACGTTGGCGAAGGACTCCCGCTCCTCCCGCCTGCGGCCGGCCAGCTCGGCGGCGGCGCTGAGCTCGCTGCCGTCCGAGGGCTTGAGGCTGCCCAGGCCCGAGGTGGTGGCCGTCTTCTCGAACAGGTCCTCGGAGTCGCTCTCCCCTCCCACGGGGCCCTCCCTCTTGGGCTGGAGGAGGTGCAGCCGGCCGGGCTCCTCGTCCTCGGCCGCCTCCCTGCGGCCGGCGTCGCTGTCCGTGTCGCTGTCCCGGGGGCTGCCCGTGCGCAGGCCCAGGTGCGCCGCCAGGTCGCAGCGCTGGACGTTGGACATCAGGACGCGGTTCTCGTACTGCAGCTTCATCACCTTGCCGCTCAGCTCGTTGATCTGCATCCGGGCCGACTTCAGCTCCTCCATCATCAAGCCGCCGCCGTTCCCGCCGCCGCCAGAGCCGTTCCCGGGTTTGAACAGCCCCGTCTCGCCGCCCTCCTCCGCCGCGGCCCCCGAACCGCCGCCGCCGGGGCCGAACTTGAAGCGATTGAGCTCAGAGGTCAGCTGTCGGTTGTGGTCCTCGATTTCAGAGATGGAGCGGCGCAGCAGCTCCGCCTCCTCCTCCACAAACTGCAGGTGGCGGCGCAGCTCGCCGGCCGACTCCAGCGGGTCGCCGCCGTACGGCGAGGAGGGCATGCTGGAGAAGGGCTCCCGCCCGAAGCAGTCCCTCTCGTACTGGCAGCGGATGTCCTCGTTCTCCGCCCGCAGGCTGCGGTTCTCCACCTCCAGCTCCACGATCTTCCGCCCCAGGATGTTGGCCTCCTCCTCCACCAGCTTGAGGCGCAGCCGCAGCTCGGCCTCCCGGGTGGTGTGGGGCCCGCCGCCCGGGCACTCGGCCAGGGGCAGCGGGCTGTCCACGTCCCCGTACACCGACTTGTACTTCTGCAGCTCCTGCTCCAGCTCGTCCTTCTCGCGGCCCAGTTTGGCCATCTTCTTCCTCATCAGGCCGGACTCCTCTTTGGCGAACTGGAGCTGGCACCTGAGATCTGCGCTGTCCTCCTGTGAGGGGCGATAGAAGAAGGAGGATAAAAAAAAAAGAAAAAAAAGGCAGTCGGATCGTTGATATGTTCAATACCCTCCAATTTAGATCTATGTCTGGCTCCACTGGTTTATCTGTGGCTGCCGACTGTAAACTATATATACATATGTACTTACAATATAACAATATAACTTACAATTATATACATATATAAACATAGGGCTATGAGTATATATATATTTATATCTTATGTGTATAAAGCCCTACTTATTCCACATGTTTTGATGCCTTTTTTGTGCTGAATTACTCACCTGACTCGAGGATTTCTTGTCTTTGAAGGCTTCCCTGCTTCCTCGTCGCCTCAGTGCAGTCTGTGACACACAGAACACACAGAAGGGTGTGAAACAAATTGAGTATTCTTCCAAAAAAACAACAACACAGCTGGAGATTAAAAACGACCAACATCGCAGCGACTAATGACAGCGATCCGAGGCCGTCAGCGACGTTTTTCGGCCACCATCGACCCCTCCGGATGTCACACAGGCGGCCGTGGCGGTGATGAAGCACCAGCGCTCCACGTTAAACACGGGCCAGCCGAAGGAGCGTTAATCTGTGGGGACGTCTTACATCACATCGTCGGGTCAAGCCCACGTCTAACGGTCAGGCTGGGACACTGAATGGGTTTTGATGCTTGCTGTAACGGGGAGCCACCTCGATGCCAACTCAGCTGAAAAACAAACAACAGCTTCCCGGCAACTCGGTGAGGCCGTTCTGTCTTTTCTCTGGACGATGCAGCAGGGGTGCTTTGAGTCCCAGTCATAGCTGCAGTGTGACAGGCGTCTTATCCCGGCTCAGATTCGCTGACACATGGCATCTCTGCAACACTCCCAGGGGAGAGCATCTGTCTATCCGGTGGGGAAATCTGTCCGGCGGCCAACTCTGGGGCCGACATCGCACGCAAAGCCCGGATAAAACCGGGCCTTCTGCATGCCAGCTTAGTCTTACCGACTAATAAAATCATTCATTTCTCTCAGCTCTGTCTCCCATCGGCTGCAGCAACATGACAGGCAGGAGACGGATGAGCGCTGAGGGAGGGGAGGCAGGGAGGCAAAGGGGAAGGAAGAAATCCCCCTCTATAAACGGAAACTGCAGAGCTGTTTCCAGACTCAGATGGCCGCCCTGACAGGACTATTTAAAGCTTCGGATGATCAGCGGAGCTTCTTTCAAGGAAGCCCGGCTCGTTATTCACATTTCTCGTGGCAGAGTGGCTCTGCTGTGGACGGGGAGCTCCGTTCACTAAAAACCGAACTTCAACACGTTCATTTTCCACATTTATTGAGCAGCAAACGGGCAAATAACACACTGGAAAGCCTACCGTGCCAAAAGGCAGAGCCTGCTCAGCTGATTGGTCAAAACTATAAGTCAGCTTGTCATCTTTAAGATAGAAACACACACACACACTCACAAAAATGCATTTGAGACACTGAAGGAAACATAAAACACCCTAAAGCACATACAACCTTTTTTTTCTGTCACTGTCTGCCTGTATGTCTACCTCCCTGCTGAGTTGAGTCATATGTGCTGGATTGATGGGAGGCTAGGCATTTTCGGTGAGGTTTAGTCTCTTTTACGTCTGGGATTTCCATTCTTCGTGAGTTTGAAGTGAGGGTTGTTTTGTACCACCAGTGGTGAAGAGTGGGTGTAACTCTGTACACATCTTCTAGCTTTTTGAGCCATTTCAAAATTTTTAGACTATTTTTTTCTATCCACCTCGTCTACCACATGATGGTAGAATCGGGTTTGTGTTATGCCGAGTAAGTGTATCACTAAACACAACACAGAGCCATCTATGCCCAAATCTACAGGGGAAAAGATTGCACTTCTGAATTGCAATTTTCGCTCCAGTCAAAGTGAATAAAAAGCACAAACGAAATGCCGAATCCCACAATAGAGCAGATGTCACTTGTTTCTCTCATCAAACTCTTGGATAAAAGCAGCTACCAAATTCTATGGCATTCAGTAAATACTTCACATCAGACAGGCTTTATGAAATGTTGAGATGAATTCTTACAGAAATATCAGTTAACATCATCTAAGGCCTGAACACATGCAATTGCAATTAGAAATAAAGAAAAAGATGAAGGAAAAGAAATGTCTTATTTGCCCAATCCCACCCTCTACCAAATCTAGTTCAGCTCATTTGGGAAGAAGTTTTTATAAGCTGCATATGACGTGATGATAAAAATGAAAAAAGGTATTGGAAGGACATGAAAATGCATTTTCTGTCTGTGATGGCTCTTAAGAGGAAACTGACAGCCCTCTCCAACTACCCCAAAAAAGCCTAACTTGCCCAATCTCGCCTTCCCCTAAATCAAATAAATTCAGTTAGGGAGAAGGTGGATCTGCTGCATTAAAAAAAATAAAAGTTAAACAACTGTACAGCTTTCAATACGAGGCAGAAGGCCTCTAGCCCCTCCTTTAAACCACATCAACTGTGCCGACACCTGTCCAGAAATCGGTGAGAATAGCAGTAATGTTCAAAATTACAGATTTAGAATAAAACAGGGGACATTTAAGGCAAATAAGTCATGTTGGCTTACTTGTGTATAAAGTTTTTTTCAGAAATATATTTATAATGACCAGAAGTCCATAGAGTAATTCTATTTGGAGAGCTTTATAAGATTTAATAAACTGGTTTTGTTTGGTCTCAGGTGGGCTGCTGAAGCCTGAATAAATCGTTTGAATTTAACTGAGTTTTTCTCCTGTGACGGCTAGTCGGTGAACAGAATATTAGTCAGAAGCTCAAAATGAGCTTTTTCCTGCCTCATCCCTCTTATTTTCAGTCAGCGGACAGAAAACTCTGGCACCGGCCGGACTGGGCGGGCGGGAGTCACTGATGGCCAGACGAGTGGAAAGTGTGAGTGTTTCCGGCTGAGCGCGGGGCGCCGCCCTCCTGACCAGCTCACTGGCACGCCGTCAGGAGGGTGGCGTCCGCTTAGAAACGGAGACCAAAACACAACTGTGGGCAGCGGAGGACGGAAGACGAGCTCCTCCTGCCTGGTGGACGCAGAGGGAACTGAACTGGACCCCAGGCCTTCGTCCACCTCTGTGGGTGGGGCCGGTTTTCTCTGCTCTGATGCTGGCTATCTGGACACTAACTGCTCCTATCCATGCTCACATCTCCATCTGTCAGAATATGCCTCATCCTCTGTGATCCCACCGTATAATCTGTGTCTTTCTAACAGAACATCGGCTACATCACGTCTTTGAAAAGTTGTTTGATCTCATTTCTCTCTTTTTGTCTCCTTCAGATATGTTCATTCCCAAATCTAGCTTGTCAATTCAATCCCTCTTTGATGTTGCAAACATTTAAACAGCAAAACGTTTGAGAGCGATGGTTCAATTAGGATGAAATCATACCTAATAGTTTCAGCCTGAAAAAAAATATCCTTTTTTTTCTTCTTAATGGTTTCAACTGATAACCCTCTAAAGTTATTCACCAGGCACATCAAAGCGTGCACACGTTTGCACCAGCCCGGCTCCAGGAGCCGGTGTCTCCAGCACCAGTCGTGGTTTAATTTCCAGTTGTGGTGACAGAGCTAATCTCTCCGGGGAGACGGCGGATTAGACGGCGCATCTTGTGCAAAGCTCCTTAGAGCCCCAGACTGCCACCGCCGGGGATCCCTGTTTATTGGATGTGCGTGTGTCCATATCAGAGCGAAGCATGGAGAAACTTTCACAAAACGGATGAAACTGTTCAAGCAGCTCATCTGGGACAACGACGCCATGAACGGGCCTCTAAATAATGGCTGTTTTAAATCAAATGTACCTTCATATATCTGTTCTGGATGCATCTGAAGCCAAAAGATGTTAAAAATAAGAATATTAAAGGTTGTACATTTGCCTCCATTTCAAAATTTCCTATCATTTCAACGGGATGTGTGACTTTTTAAGACATATTTGTCCTGTTACCTACAGAAACTACAAAGACATTTGTACTATAAAAGAAAGCGACCAGTCAGGTCGCATTTTTCTTTCATCTCCACTTGCGAGGAGACATATCCGGGGCGATGCGCTCCTCTGGCAGCCGCCAGCTTGACCTTCGTGTTAGTCCATGTGAAAAAGGGCAGGTGGTTTTCAGTGCCCGCGTCATCATGGATGAGCCTCCAAAATGTCAGAGGAGCCACCAAACTAAAGCACAAAAACACTGAAAAATTAGTTTTTATGAGTGATTTATATATTGATACATATATATTTTTTATATGTCGTTCTTAGCTTCTGTAACAAAACAGCACTTCTCCCTGCAATTTAATTCCTCACTTAATTTAATTACTTTAAGTCAGTTCATTAAAATATTTCTTTGGACGCACATTATGAGAGTTTTCTTTAAATTTCCTTTTTCAGTCCAACAGAAACCTCCATAAAGGAGCAGGATAAAGATGACCGGGCCAAATGAAATAATCCTGTCGATGTTTTTGATGGATTACAGCAACATCACCAGCACAAACACGACAAACTGTGCTGGTTTCAGCTTTGCTTCAAGTGAGATCTTGCCTCCCTCTCGTCCTCTTGATTAAAAAACGATGAATCTTTTATGGTATATTTCTACATTTGCAGAAGCCGGGAGGGCCTCCATCCTGCTGCACGCAGATTATTTTCACCTCCTGCCGCCACGCTGACGCATTTCTGTATTTTCTGAGAGCGGAATGAGAAAACAACCATGTGCTTCTCCACGCTGTCGGCCATATGCGGCGCTGGCGTGCGATGGCGGGGGGGGGGCGTTACAAAGCCTGGCACCACGACGGGCCCTGAATGGCTCACTCAGGATCTGCTGGATTTTTACATCTTCAAAGGGATTTTGAATCTGGTTTCACAGTGCTCACTGGAGGTGAGGATTATGGTTTAGGGTTAAGTTAATTGAAAAATTGTGATGCGATTCACCTTGAGGGGAGGTTGAAGTTCAGGGTGGATTAAGCTTTGGATCTAATTTTTAGCAAGATGGCTAGAGGAAGGAAGCGCTAAAGGACAGGATGTGGAGGCATTCTGGTTAGTCACTGTCAGTGTTTTGGGGTTAAGTGATTAAAAAAAAGGTATTTGAGCAGCAGTAGTGGGAACATGAGGGCACATTATACAGAAAGCCAGAACAGTTGAACAGCTCTTTTTTACACTGCCACATGAGTATTTCACATTTTAGAGCAAACGAAAGCCCTTTGAATATATTAGTTTTCTCCACAAGGGAACTATAGACACATTTTATGCTTCTTCCGTTCCTCACAGTCGATTATTTTTCAGACAAAACAGATGAAAGACTTCTTCACCTGAGCAAATTTCATATATAATCAAACATTACTTTGAGTCCTGATAATATTCTCACATCTTCCCTCTAAAATGGGTCATTTGATCCAATTATTGGCACTTTAATGCTTCCTATTACATCGTAACAACAGAGTCTGAAGCTGAAGTCATGACCCAGACTCGACTTAAGCTACAACAATGCGTTAGGAAGAATCAAAATGTTTCCCACACCGAGGATATGTCCAACATGTACTTAGCGTTAATGAGTTAGTCTCTGCTATAATCAGTGGAGCCTAAAGGCCAGCATCGTAAACGGCGTGTTTGCAGGTCTGTGACTGGTGTAAGTTCCCATCAGAGAGCTAAAGGGAAAACTCTCTACGGCTACACAGCTCAGATATGAGCTCAGAAAGGAGAAAAAAAGTAGAATCCCAAGTCCTCTGACACGCCTGTTTGAGTAAAGTCTCATTTTTTGGATGGAGCGCTGGATGACATCACTCAATGACATCAGCACAATCCCCCAGTGGGGAGGAAGAAAGATTTTGGAGGCGTGGGTTGGGGGTTGGGGGGGGGGGGGGATGAGAGAGAACGGGGAGCGAGCCAGTGAGTTTGCAGCAGCATCTGTGCTCCAAAGCTTGGCCTAGTTCTGAGTTTGCTCAAACAAGGCTGCAGAGGGCTCTGGGAACGGGATTTAACAGGAGGCGTGATGCGACCAGGAAAGTGGGCGGGATGGGGGGGGGGCTGGCAGGGGAGTCCAACACAAAAGGAGCTGCGGCGGCCGCTGGATGCAGATAAACCCCCCCCCCCTTCTCAGCCCTGACAGAGGAGGCTAAGACTCAACAGGATAAATAAGACTCGCCCCGGCGAGTGAGCTCGGAGATAAGTCGCTCTGAAACGTTTGGAGCCAGATTATATTAGCGAGATCAGGATGAATGAGCGCTCCATCGGAACTGTAATCCCTCCCGATAAATCAATTAATGCAGCACTCCGGACTGAAAGCATCCGAGTGTCAAACGCCCTCCTTTTGTTGCCTGATTTAATTTCTTCTCAATCCAAGGACGCGCTCGGATGCTGAGGTGCTCTCTGTCAAAGCCCCTGCTGCATCAGGATTTACAGCAGGCCGGTATTTTCATACGGATAATCAATCTCTGGCGCGCTGCACCTGCAGTGGTCTAAATATACTGTGGATGTGCTTCATCGGCCAGATATGCACGTCGAAATTCAATTTGCAGCGCAGAATGGAGCACGTTCCTTAGGAAGGCCGCCAAAAACAGCAACAGCAGCAATTTCCCCCCAAAACTAGACCAATAAATACTAAATAATTAACAAGATACAAGGGTACCCCAATGTCATGGCATCTCCAGCCTCCCTCCGTTCACATGAATAACCCTCCAGAGATTTTTCTCCACCTCTTAACTAAACTGGACGCTGTAAATAATAAAAACTATATAACAGAGTCACCGTTTCTAACAGCTCATGAGATGAGCAGGTAATATCAGAGGTGCTGCTTTCAATTACAGATAAAAAATACACAGGACCGTTTAAAAGCGTTCACATCCTGCTTTAAGCGCAAATGTACTTAGAGACTCTTATGCCAAAAAGAAGATTTGGAAGCTCGTTCAACCACAACAGCTCAATGACTTTCCAGTGTGGGTTTGTACGTTCTGCATCCACAAAAAGCTAAACGTAATAAATCCTCGGGGCTAAGTCGATGTGACATAACCAGGACACAGCAGATAAATATCAGATACTGCCATCAGGAGGTTTCATCCTTTCTGAAGATGGCAGATTGCAGTCAAGAAGACGAAAATCGATTGTTGTCGATGTTCTGCTGATGCCTGTGCGTCCCTTCTTTTTATTAGAAGAATTATCATTCAAGCTTCCAGCTGATTTGAACTTTGAGTGGCCCTTCCGAGCTCATCGTGCTGCACCTTGACTTTGATTTAACTATTGCACTATATATTGTTATTATTGTTATGAATCATTGTTATTCTTCTCATTAATTATTATCCTAATCATAATCATTATTGTTCAATGAATTGTTCATCAAATTAAATGAAGCGATTAAAAATCTATTAATTTTCATCCATAAATTTGTCTACATTTTGAAAAGAGCAATCCATTAATTTACATTAACTTTTAGGCTGTTTTTTCTTGTAGACCAAATTGTGTTTAGCCTTGTACATTTTTGTTAGATTTTATTGTGTCACTTGAATTTATACTTTGTGATCCTTTGCTTTTTGTGTTTCCTCACAAAGATTTCTATAAAAGGTCACTTTTACTTCTTTACAGGTTTTACCTCTGTACTCTGCTCCATTGAACTCTGTGTGCAAAGTGCTACACCAATGAGCTCTTATTGATCAATTGAGGTTGGGTATCGAGTCTCGTTTGCTTTTAAACTACCAGCTCAATACTGCATCTTGACGGACAAAAGCATGTATTTAAAAGCAAGCATATCCTAAGCCTTTATCTTTAGATATTTTTAGATTTTAATTGAATCATCAGTTGTATTGAAGCTATTTCTCTAAGTATGGCTGATGAATAAACAACAGCTCTCTTAGGATTCGTGCAGCTCTGCTAACACCGGCAGGTTGGGCATCTCGTACTTCTGTGTGTTTAATTTCTACAGGTGCGCCTGACTGGTCGGGTGACATAAAAAATGTGTCTTTATACGAATTGAACAGTGTTTGCATTTCAGGTTAACTAGAAAGAAAAGAAAATATGTTCTCATTGAGGACACGGAGGGTAAACAATAAAGCTGCCGCTCTGAGACAGCGGCAGGATTTGTTCCTCACAGGAATCAGGTTCAATAATTAACTCAGGATCAATCCCTTTCTGCAGGCTGCAGTATGTGTGTGTGTTACATGCGTGACACATTCATTTGCTTTAGAACCAGTTGTTGGATGCCTTGTACTGCTGACTCTGCAGATCTCACGGGTAGAGGAGAACAGGGAGGGGGCTTCACTGGAGCGAGTCCTGCGATAAGTAGCTTCAGCTCCTCTGAGACGCATCATTACAATCAGCTCCACCTCGGGGTCTTTTCTCAGATTTCAAATCTCCGGATTTCTTTACAACAGCTCCGAATCCAGCTCAGAGTTTTTGTTCTCACTCTCAGGACTGTGAGGTGCTCCCATCAGATCAGGGTTCCACCAACAGAAATGACAGTAAAGATCAGATTTGCTCGGTTATTTTTATGAAAGGCACACACTGGCCAACAAGAGCGTCCTCAGTAAAGTCTGGGAGCGCATGCAGATGCAGAAAATCTTTCAAACATCTGCATCACTGACCAGCAATGAAAAGCTTGGAATATTAGAAAAAAATATGTGAGAATATCTGAGCCAGATAAATGTAACTGAAGGAAAAAAAAAACATCTTTTGTTGAGTTAATGCTGAAGAAACCAGGGGGTCTTTTAGCTCTGATCAACCAGTAGCTCTTATCACAGCACGAATGAAACCATCCCTGATATGACTCAATAGTGATTGGTGGAGTGTATCGGACCGATCTGGACAGGTCAAATGCAATGCCATCTAGACAAAGAACCCTTCAAAGTGTGTATCCCCTCATTACATAAACTCCCTTTGTGCCTGGATGAGTATTCTGATAAGTTATGTAAATAACAAGTTAATGAAACACGGATGTCTGTGAGCCATTAACCGTGCGGACGCCCCTGTTGGCCCGGAGTAGAAAGCTGTAACCGCTCGGTTTCCCTGTGAACAGAAGCAAAAGCAGCAAATCTTCTCACAGTAATTAATGACCGGCTCGCCTGGCTGGGCTGTCCACCTCTGGTTACCATGGTTACAAATGGTTTACGACAACCAGACTGAAAAATCTGCCCCAGTAACTACAGAACGGAGGCACCTTTTTACTTGCAGAGCGGTGATAATCCCATTAAATCAAATGAAATAATGACTTTTTTTAGCTAGAAACCTTTTTGTTTTCTGCACGAGTCGGAGAGGCTTTTGGCCGATGTTTTCCCTTTGTCTGAGCACTCCCATCCTTCTGTAATTATGAATGTCCTCTGTTCTGTGGGCTTTTGTCTGTGACATCAAGCAGTTAGCACCAATCAGGCAGTTTAACGACAATCCGGCCGACGGAGTTGCAGCTTTTTGCTCTTTAATTTGGCGGCAGGGTGACGGATGGGATGCAGCCATCACAAACACAGAGTAGCTGGGGGGCTAATTTAGCCCCCCATGGCTGCAGAAAGGAGGGAAGTGAGTACTGATCCAGATGCTACGAAAGGGTCAGAGAGAGTTTGGGCAGAATCGGCCAGTAAAGGAGCCCATTTTGTCTTAAACATGTAAAGCCATGCGGTTAATGCAATTTCAAATGAGCTATTATTGAACCAAAGAGCTTCTGTTACGAATCAAACCTCAAATCCACCAATCCCTCCAACTTTAAAGACAATGGTGTATTTTCTGGCTCATCTATGCTATTAAAATAATCCTTTAAGTGA